CCCCCAGCTCACTCAGGGCAGAAATACCTGCTCATCAAAGAGGTGGGTGGACACCCTCCCTGTCACATGACGCTGCCCAGGACGCTGGGAACTTTGTGCAACGACAGCTGTGGAGGGTTGGGGTCTGACTGGCCCCTGACAAGGGCTGCCATTGCTGCCAGCCCACACCCACATGCCAGGACCGTTCTGTGTGACCTGAGAGGGCACAGTGGCCTGAGGGCCCAGGTTCCCCCTGCAATTAGACCGGCAGTGGCCGTCCACCACCAGGACACTCGAGTCGGCCACCTGCAATGATGTCAGTCTGTCCCAGATCTCTCATCTGGACAACACCCCTCTCCCCTCCTCCCCACTCCTGCCTCCCTCCTTTTTAATGTTTCTTTCAGATGACAATGCTCAAAACCACAACCTCTATGTCTGATTCTGACCAGAAAATACAATTCTCAACGCCCAGCAATAGAACGAGGATAAAGTCAGACAATGCACGTGGCCCTGGGAAGGGGGCCAGAGGGACTCATTGAGTTTCTCAAGTGCAGCTGACGATGGCTGCCCTGGCCTGTGTCCCGGGAGGGAGGGCAGGGGAGGGTGCGAGGACTGAGCTTCCAGTGCCGTTTACACTCCACGAATGCAGTCAATCATCGCAGAAAAACAAGCAGCGGGCCAGCAACGCGGTGCCACGGTCACAGTCGACGTCTCCTCCTGGGCCAGTCCCACCTGCCCCATAACCAGAGGCGGGTGTCCAGAGATGTCCCAGACACCCAGGGGCGGGGCTCTGCACAGGGGACCCTGCCGGTCTCAGGGGACGATCCTGAAGGAGTGCTGTCCTGCGGCCTCCCCGCCCTGCTCCTGCTTCTCCCTGCAGCCCCTGATCTACTGAACAATCCCTTTGTTGAGGCTGCGGGGTGTTACTGCACTTTTTCAGTAAAAAACAAACAAACATGCAATTTGGTGCGACTTTTGCAAATAAGTCTGGAGGCTGCGTTCCAGTGAAGAGCTTGGTCTCACCCACACCCTACGCGTGAGAGGCCCGTCCCCATCCCGGCCGGCAGCAGGCTGGCCGCCAGGCACCTCCCTCCGAGCAGCAGCCTCAGCATCTCCTCCGGGCGCTGGCACACGTGGGCTCCGCCGGGAGCCGCCTCCCCATCCTGCCTCTCTGGTATTGGGTTTGGCGGCCTGAGCCCTCTCCTGAGGGACCTGCCTGCAGGCCTGGTGATTCAGATGCCCCCTTGGGCCAGGCCCTTCCTCCTGGGCGGCCAGCCTGGCCATAGCCAGTCTACCCGGGGTCCTTCCCACGCCTCTCAGCCCTGCCCCACCGACCCACCGACCGCAGCCGCGGACGTGACCACTGGCGGCTCCTGTCCAGTTGACTCATTGTGCCGTTGGCTAACATAGGCTGGGGAACAGACAGCCCTGTCCTGGGTGCTCAGGCCAGAACGCCGGCCCCTCATGGTGGAGCTGGCCTGCGGAGGGGCTACCCGGACACAAGAACAGACAGAGGCTGTCCAAGCCGAGGGCAGGGACAGCACCCAGGACAGAGCCTGCCTTTCGGGGTCTGTGCCTGGGGGGTGTTGGGGGGTGAGGACCAGGCTGGCATCTGCCAGCTCCAAGGTCTGCAATGACATTGCCATGGAAACCACATGTGTAACCTGTGGGAAATATCGTTTTCCTTGATGAATCATGTTCTAAGTTGGGAGGAAAATTCACTCGATAGTTGAGGCATTAAAAGGAAATAAAAAAGATTCATTCAACAGATGCTAAGAGGGTTTGTCCCCCCAGGTCCCAACATTGCCCCAGCTGTGTTTGTCTTCCTTTTCTAGAAAATTCTGTCAGGTGGAATCTGAGGTTTTGGAGCCCAAGGAGGACGACTGGCCTGTGTCCAAGCTGCCCTGGGCAGGGCAGAGAGGTGGGCTCAGCTCAGGGAGGGTCAGCCCGGCCCGTGGTCTGGGTCTGTCTCCACAGCCGCTCATCTGCCGTGTGGCTACGGGGAAGATAACCTCCCTCAGTCTCCCCGTCTGACTGAACATGGGGTGGACATGGCCCAGGGGTCCGGCACACCCAGGTCCCGACTGGGGCCGAGGAGCCAGCAGGAGGCTGCACCACCCTCTCGTGCCGGGAGGTTTTCTTGGAGCAAAAGTAAAAGGGTGGAGGGAGGGAGGAGGCGGGAGGACGAGGATTTTTTTAAAGGAGGAAGGCCCTGCCCTAGGCTGGGGTCTGCGTGTCACAGGGGGCGCTGTTGCTCCACAGAGGGAGGACGGAGCCGGGAGGGAGGGAGGGAAGGCAGGGGCGGGGAAGGAGGCGGGGAAGGAGGGGCAGGGGCTCCAGGCTGGCCCAGCAGGCCCCAACCCCCCCCCCACCCC